GCCCCCGTGTCCAACATTTCATTGAGAGCCTTATCTAGGAGAGCTCGCTTGTGCACACTCAGCGGTCTGGGGTTACAACCCCACGGCCTAGCGTCTCCCGTGTCTATCTCATGTTGTAAAACATGCGTGACTCCCGGCCTCTCAGTAAACATAGCTGCGTGTCTAGACAAAGCGTCCGCTAACGATCGCCTTTGTTCGGCCGGCCCGTCGAAAGAAGCCACGATCTGTTCAACGTTATGTGGTACGGCCCGCGCAGCTAACACCTGCTCCTCGCGCAGCCTAGCGAGCGAACATTCCGATCCCTTCCCCAAACTAGGTGGGGCTACAAAGGGGATGAGAGGGGTCAGCGGGTTGTAGTGGTACCCGTTATTCTTTAGGTCTAGAATGATCCCCTCTCGGCAAACGAAGTCCTGTCCCAAAATAACTGGGATTGACATGCCCGGCAGGTAAACAAAGCGCTGCCTCCTTCGCTTGCCGTCGAGGCCGAGGTGAAGGCGAACTGCGCATTGCGCCTCGGCCGATCCCGCCGCTAAACGCAACGGAGTTGCAACTTCGCGCATGCACAGGTTTCTTTTGCGGCAGTCCGTGTACACGGAGTCTCCGATGAGAGAGAGGGTTGAGCCGGTGTCGACTAATGCTAGATAATCTTTACCACCGATCTCTACCCGCACGTACGGACCCCTTTCAGGTGTCGAGTCCTGAGCCCGACATGCCGACGGCGCGAACGCTACCCGATCGCTGCCCGCGACTTCCGCCCCGTCGGCGAACTGACCCGGGGCCTCGGCAGCGGCCGGCAACCTTGATTCGGGCAACCCGATTACTGGCGCCGGCCCCGCGCGTTTTCCGAGTATCCGGATTCGGCCGCTGCCCACGTGCATTGCCGCCTGATGTGCCCAGGCTGGTGGCACCTGAAGCACCTGACTTGGGCGCGGTCGTCGCGTGCTACAGTTGATCTGTCGCTAACGGCACGCGGCGCGCCGCCTCGCCGAGCGCTGTTGTCGCTGCCGCGAGCGTCGTAACGCGTCACGTCTCCGCGGTATTCGACCGCGCCGCCCCCCCTACGGGGTTGCGCCCCGGCTGAGTGTGCGCTGGCTACCCTGCGCCTTTGCTCGAAGCCGAATGGGTCGAGGGCCCGAGGTGGAATGGCTCCGCCATTCCCGCGATCCGCGACGGCCACGTACGCCGTCTGCGACTCGACGTAACCGTCCGCGGCGCGTCCCGTCCACGCGCAACCCGGCTCCAAGGACTCCTCGGCTCTTGGAGGGGGCCGATACTGCAGCTCAGCGAGCAATCCCGCTTGAACCGTGCGCGCCTCTCTCGCCAGTGCTTCGAGGTCTGCGAAATCGCGTCCTCGAAGATACGCCTTAAATCTGGGGTGGCACTGGCGGATCGCCCTCGCTACTTTCTCCGCGTTAGGCGCGGAGGGTTCGGCCCGCGAGTAGAGCTCCTGGAGTGCACGGACGTACTCCACGAGGCTCTCATCCGGGTGCTGAGTGCGGCTCGCCAGCTCGTCGCGAATCCGCATCTCGTAGTCGGGAGGAAGGAATTCCTCCCGAAACCGCGCCCGGAAGTCCGCCATTGATTGGAACGGCGTTTGCAGCCGTCTCCAACGCGCGGCGTCGCCCGTCAGTGCAATCGGCACGATCTGCAGCAGGGCTGTTGCGTCCGATGCCCCCAAAGCGGTTACGTACGCGTCTAAATCCTGCAGGAAATCGTGCACCGATTTCCCGTCGGAGTACCCCGAGTACGTCGGCGTAGGCACGCTCAACCGCGGGCGGGGTATCGGCAAAGGCGCGGCACTCGCGACGCTTGGGGCTGTCCCCATCTGCCGCGACATCGCGTCCATCATCCGCGTCATTGCGCGCATCAGTTCACCGGCGTCTAGCACGCCTTCCGTCGCTGGTGAAGCTGGGGGCGAAGTCCCAGTCTCCGGGGGCGCGCGTGAGCCCGAGTCTCCGCTAATCGGAGCAGCCCCCGCGCTATCTCGCCCAGGCTCGTCCTCCGACGAACCGTCCTTACTCGCGCCGGTGGTCGACCTGGTGTCGACCATTGTCACTTTCTACCAACTCGAACACAATTCGCAAAATTCGAGCACGCTAACCTCCAAAATCCGCGAAAACGCAAAGTGCGCGACCTCTCAGGGAGGAGCGAAAGCAACGGCCAACCGATCGGGCCCCACGTTGGGCGCCAGATTATGTGGGTCGCTACCTGATCGACGCCCGATCGGGACGTGCCTCGCTCGCTCCCCAAGAAGTCACCGACACAGTGCGTGTTCAAAAGTGTTTACTCAAACTCACGTCGTCTGCGAGCCGCTCGTCGCTGTCGTCCCAATGACCTCCCTGACCGGTCCCTTTCGAAGTCGGCAGCCCAAGCCCCTTCCTTTGTCTTCGTTCCCCTTTTAAGACCTTCCCAAGTCCTTGTCCCGCCGACCGTCCAATCGGGAACCTTGCTGCGACCGACCCTCCGACGTCAGCGCTGGGTGAGGGGGCGCTTGCCCCATCCCTCCCGGAGAGCTCGGACGATCCGCGACTGGACGGCGACGTGAAACGGGAAGGTCACGGGGAACGAAGGAGCGCCCGGCAGCACGGCGACAGGGACCGGCGAGGTCACGGAGCGCGGAGGAGCCAGGGAGAGGGTCCCCACAAAGTATACAGGACTTAACAGGAGGCTAAGGTGTGGCGAGGACTGTACAGTTACGCCGCATTCACACTGGCAGCTGAACCGCATTCTCAAAGCGGTTGCGAACGCGGTTGCTTAAAGTAGTAGTACAAATTCACGCGCATTTGATTATGGAAACGAGCCAATCCGCTTCGCGGTTGCGATTCGAACGCCAGTGTGAATGCAGCATTAGGGTGTCGGTACTCACTTCTTTTTTTAAAAGTCTCATGCACGAACTTGTGAAGACGTGTTTTCTTATAAGTATGATTCCTAGAAGATGGCCCTGCAGAAAATCAAACCTTACCCGCTATTTATTTTTTTTTCAACCTACTTATCCGTGTAAATAATGCTTTATTCCTTGTCCGCTGCCTGATGCGAGTTCTCTGAAACTCAAAATAAGCGACTGTTATTGTGATATGCTCGTATACTGTTCAATATGTGCATTCACACTGTACAAAAGCAGTACTATTGGAGCTATTTGATCTTAAGTACAGCGGAAAAAGAAATTGAAGGTAAAGCAATGTATCGGACAAGATTAAAAGAAGAATAAACAGGTAGGACAAAGACAACACAACCAGATGTTTCAACCAGCTACGGACATCCTATATGTCCGTTGCAATACTCCTTTGCACGAGAGCACAAGGTCGCTGCCTTGATCAGTTCTTCCAAAAGCGAGCACTCGCGCTTGAAATGCACATCTCAAATCTAGGAGCACGGGTTAGCTTACGTTTCTGGCTTTGGCTGCAGTTTCAGCCTAAGGGTGAACGGATCGAGTATAGTTATCTGATGCGGTTATGTTGACTTTGTCCAACATGTTTATTCTTTATTTAATCCTGACCAGCACCAACACACTTTTCGTCTGTCACTAGCAATGTATGCTCTGAAAATAAACCATAGCTTTCAGGGTGTGAAAAAATAAAAATGTTGTATTAACTCGCTGTCAGCACTCAAAAAGCAGCAGCGCACCCAGCTGCGGCCGCCAGTTTTTGTGAAACCTCAATCCAGCGCTGAACTGGCGCATTCTCGATCCGGTACACTTTGCATTGACCGCTAGCACATGGCATGTAACAACGAAGAGTATGGGCAAATAATTATAGAGGCGGTGTTGAGTAGTGCCTCGCGTTTAATAAAGCATGATACGCCCTGCATAGTTTGTTTCGTGTAGTTTCTTGTTACCATATGACCATGTTCGGAAATGTGCGACCGCCAAGTTCTCACTGAGTCGTCTTCGGACGCGCACAAATAAATTTACCATCCAAAGCGCTACAGCGCAAAGTTGTGTGATTATCACAGGTTGCTGCAACGCAAGTGTGGCTACAAGGCCTTTTTTAGCTACACACTTGCCCCAAGAATTTCGTTTTTCATCGTCAGTCGATTGCGATGAGTGGATCACTAAGGCCTATAATAGGGCTTTCTGCCAAACTCATATCGTCCAAGGAGTTGCTCACACCACTTTTTCGACGACAAGCGGACCAATTCTAACCCAATGCCGTTCCGTTACTCGGATAAAGTTATCATTGCCATTCCGAACCATTTGATGGCATGCAAAAGTGGCTTCAAGAACCTGCGTACAACGTAGCCTGAGGCTGCCGTTTAATTGAAAATAAAATGTTCTTCCTTCTTCGAGACACGGGTGCCGGGCGCCGAGAGCTTACCTGCATGCATTCCGAGTTACATTTAACTGCTCATTTGTTTTATCATTGTAAAAAGCCATTCAAAATCCCATACCGTCCTCGCTCTTCCGGAGAGTTGAAGTGATATGGCCTGCCGTAAGCCAGCTTGGTTTGCGCAAGGCGGCAGATATATTTTATAGAAACACGTTATTGGGTCTCGTGATTCCCTGCATTAGTATCGCGTGGTGAACAATGTATCACTTGTTCACCGACCATGTCGGAAAGAATCAACCACTCACCGATCAGTTTTGTCAAATAAAATTTCCACGCTTTTATCCCTCACCAGTCTTGACAACGCAGTACCTAATCAGATATATGAGTGATCGCATTTAGAGTGTGGCTTCATTATGTATATATTATGAAAAGTTCCACTCCTGCTAACGCCTTCAACTAATAGCCACAGTCTCGAATAAATAAATAAAATATCTGCGCGCTTGCTTCACGATAACACAGACACGTGGGTTGTGTCCATAAAGAGCGCGAAATGCTTGAGAAAAATTCGGCTGCCGAAAACTATTTACCGACCTTTCGATTACGCAGGCTTAAGGATGATATCATTGTTTATATTTGAAGTTAATTCACAATTTGATCAAATTTATTTGCACAATATTAGCACTTCATATAAAATTGCTTTCCTTATTTTCTTTTTTTTTCTTTTTTTTTAGTATTGGTTTCTTCTGATTACCAGACAATGCATTTCTGTTCGGGGTTCATGATGGTCCCGACTCTGCACCCGAATGCATCCGCGAAACGCTCGAAGTTCATCAGCGGAATGATTGTCCTGCGGAAAAAGAAGACGAAGCACGAGTTATTAAATAAAAAATCAAGTTTCATGGTTTCAATTTAGGTCCCACCTTTAAATGTCAAACACTCTAAAACAGTCAAAACGACCATTAGGAACTACAAGCACGCCTCTCAAAAAAAAAAAAAAAAAAAAAAAAACGAGCACGGCATCTTGTCTTTTAGATATGCTAGATATAGGGAAGCGCACTCGCACAGTACCGTTTTCTTCCGTTTCGTTATGTTACGGCAGCTTACGTCTGCTTACGTTGAGAGTCACTGGAACACATATGCTATGAGTAAAGCGTGGTAAACAATTCAATGGGTAGCTTTCCCCGTAAGAAAACGTAAACAAACACTCCTGTGGGAGCAGGCCCTCTACAGTAAACAGTAAACATTCTTTAGACTCTGGGCATATTTGGCGCCATGGTGTAGTTATGACTGCGCGGTTCAAAGAACAGCAAGAAAAGTAGTAACAAAAAAAACAGCATAATACAAAACTGCCACTCTGCGTGTCACAACTTTTGTTTTTCCAGAACATTCCAACTTTTAATTAACATTACCAAAAAAAAAATGAAAGGCGTTTACAACTCCCTGTCACGCCGAATTGGAGCGCAGCTCTTGAGGAGGAGGAGGGAAGGGTACTGAGGGGAGGGTATAGCCCTCCTCCTACCTCGTGATCCTGCCTGCTACTCCTGAACGAAAGGGCTTCCGTTCGAAGCCGGCCGAGGGACAAGAGATAAAAGTCTTTTAAAATTATTTGTCGGAGTAATGAAAATTCGGATTCGTCCCCCGTGCTCATCCTCCCTGCTCCCCTCCTTTCTCCTCCTCCCCTCACGGGGGTCACGTGATCTCCTCGGAGGGAGAGGAGGGGGTCACGTAACCCCCGGACCTGGGGGGGGGGGGGGGGGGGGGGGGGTCACGTGACCTGGGGGTGTCGTGTGACCTGGGGGGGGGGGGGGGGGTCACGTGACCTCACGGTTACGCCGACGGCGACGTTGCTCAGGCCGGAAACGGGCGCCTAAGAGCTGCGCTCTAAAACTACAAGGTAGTGTGTTGGTAATGCAATTATTGCAAAGGTGCAGGCGAGCTTGACAAAATTAACGATGATAATCCTTGGAGAAGGGAACAAGGGGGACAGAGAACAAATACAAATCTATAAACACAGCTAGGTGACTGGTGCACGCTGGAAACCTTAAAACAATGCAGGTCGTTCACTTTTGTTGGTGTTAGACTGGTGACAGCTGATAAAACCCGTTTGCCCTACTGACGTCTAACTCCTGACTAGCTAAGTTGGTAGAGCGCCCCACTGGAAATAGAGATGTCCCTGGCCTGTTATCATGACTAGGCCCATTTTTTCAGCGCACACCAGTCACCTAGCTGTGTTTGGAGATTTGTATTTGCCCTTTGCCCCCTTGTTCCCTTTCTCCAGGGATTCTTATCGTTAACTTAATGCGTGCCTTAAATTTCCCATAGCAAGTTTCAGTAAAGCAATTATACTTCAAAAACTATACCCGTTCCAAACGAAAGCATACCAGTAAGACATGTAGAAGGAAACCCCAAACGCACAGTAACAAGGTTACAATATCTCTTTGTGTCTCACATTTTTGCAATTGTCACTATAAAATAAAATTATATCTTCATGCTATATCAAACCCTCTAATTGCGTTTCAACAGCAGAATACAACGGCTAGCAAACCTAAGCACAATGTTCGCTACTAGAATTAAAAGTCTTAAACGCCGTCCTGGAACGCTACGTGATGTAGGAGCGTGCTACCCCTGTGGCTACGGTGGATGTTCTACATCCGTTGTGACTCTGATCAGGTACTTAGACCACTCGCGAGATGCTACTCAGCGAGGTGGAATTTGGAACAGACTCACCCGACTTCACCCGGTGGGTAAGCGATAACAAGTACTGCAAATTGCCCGCGCGACGCATCACTTCGCTATTTCCTATAACCTCCCCCTTAATGTGCCGCGCGGCAAACTCTATGAAAAGAGCGTTCCACGTTCTTTCTTTGTACTCTTCGCTTCTTCATCGCACCCGAACGATATCCACTTCTTCATCTAGCGGCAAAAAGAAGGAACTGCGAAAAGTGTATCATAGCTTACGTTGAGACTCTTTTGGCTTTCATTTTATTATTGCGCTTTCACTGGGCAACTCTCGGTGCGTTATCACTGGGAAGCTCTCGGCAGCTTAAAATATCCTGACACTATCCGATAGCCATTTATTTATTGGCGAAGCAACACAGAGGCCGTGCTCCAAAATTTACCCGATCTTACTCAGGGTAAGGGTTTTGTACCTTTGCTTTCGAAAACCTACCCGCGTCCGGCGTCGCCCTCTGTGTTATCACGTGACACGACCTGCCGGAGTAGCTCGGATCTATTTAGGGAAGATTTAGAACACAGCCACAGTGAGGTAGTTTACACGCTCCTCACCACGTGGCGTTGACGTGACTATATCTATTTCAATCAGGGTTGTTGTCGTCTTTGCATCATGGGTGAACTGGTTGCCGTTCACACAAACTAAAACGACAAAAACGACGAGGCCCCAAGACAGACATGTCTCAAGCACCGTGTGGCAACAACCTTAAAATATGCATGACATTTACGGCCGACCAGTCATAAATGAAAAAAATGCAGGTATTGTATTTCACTTGAAATTGCTTCCTGGAGCTATTCTTTCTACTGGTGGCCACGTGTAGAACACATGGTAATTCAAACGACTCGTAGTGGTTTATGTGTCCAACAACAAAAAGTGAAAGCCGTTTACAACTGGGTGTAACGCCGAATTAGAGCGCAGCTCTTGAGGAGGAGGAGGGAAGGGTCCTGAGGGGAGGGTATACTCCTCCTCCTCCTCCTCCTTCTCCTCCTCCACCCCTTATTGGTCAATCTTCTCCGGGGGGGTCACCTGACCTCGGGGGGGGCAGGGGTCACGTGTCCTGGGGAAAGGGGGGGTCACGTGACCTCGGGGCACATGACCCGGAGGGGTCACGTGACGTGGGGGTCACGTGACCTCGGGGACGTTACCCTGGGAGGGAGGGGTCACGTGACCTAGGGGAGAGGGCACGTGACCTCGGGAGGGGGTTCACGTGGTCACGTGACCTCGGGGGGCGGGGGTCACGGGACCCCCTCCCTGAGGTCACCGAAGGTACCCGAGGTCCTCCCGAAGGAACCCGAGGTCCTCCCGAGGTCCTCCCGAAGGAACCCGAGGTTTTCCCGAGGTGCTCCAGAAGGAACCCGAGGTCCTCCCCAGATCCTCCCGAAGGAACCCGAGGTCCTCCCGAGGTCCTCCTGAAGGAATCGAGGTTCTCCCGAAGGCACCCGAGGTCCTTCGGAAGGACCTCGGGTTCCTTCGGGACAATTTACCCATAATGCACCGCAGGGTTACGCCGACGGCGACAGCGACGCCACTGAAGCCGGAAACGGGCGCCTAAGAGTTGCACTCTAAAATGTCTGAACCACTCTCTCGATCGGTGCCATGTTGCCACGCCGACATGACCAATTCTAAATGTCTGGATTCACGAGTGCTGTTCGTGCATTTACCATCATCTCTTACCTGAACCTATTGGGTATTGCATCCCGAGGCTTCAGGAAGAAGTACATGGATCTTTTCCTCGCAACTTCACACCTTGACTGTTTCGAGAGAAATGTAACGAGAGAATAAGAAAAAATCAATTCGAAAAATAAAGTGTGGATTTAATGCAGCCGCAAAGATAGCCGGTCCTCCTCCTAAGCTTTTCCCAAAAGTTATATTAGTGATGTCAGTTGGCGCACCTAAGATCTCCTAACTAAATATAAATGTAGGTAAGTTCGGTCGCACAGGACACTATTTAACAAGCCACAACGAAACTGAAAAGAATATATGTTCCAAACCAGTAGTAAGTCTTACAGTTAGAGCAATCTAATACAGATAATTTACCAGGCCTTAAAATTTGCAACGTGTCAAAAGTTGGTACGCGTGCATAGTTATTGACGCGTTTGTGCCGGAATACTTAGAGCGTCTGTATTAACTCACGAGAGCATAGGCAATGAAGAATAATTGATCCATAGTGTAGGGCTCCGTTCCTGGGATGGAATAAATGCCGTACTTCTCTTCGTACTTCGTCATGTAGACACGATACGCCTGTTGGGCAACAAACAATTTGATTAGACACTCCTTCCATAAATTAAAATTTTTGTTTCATGCAGTCTCCAATGTTTCTCAACTTTAAGCTAATAATAAAAATTCTGCATAAGAATATTATTCAAAAAATTAAGACGCATTATAATTAGTTAAAATGAATTCGCATTGCAATGTGATCGCAAAAAGTCATCCAGAGCTTTTCTGATTGCATGCATTTGTAATCATCGATCGTATCCGCAAACCAAGTTAGATGATGCATCTACAATCATGTCCAAAAGCAGTCAATTCTAAAACCATGTGTGAAATTATGACCTAAACGACACGTTTCCTTTTGTTCCCAAAGCACCCGCTGAATATTCTGGGGAAAAAAGCGTGACAACCAAACAAAAACATTTCTGATGTTACGATGGGTACGCCTCCTGTATTATGGGAACAATCATAGGAAAGTAAAAATGCTTAAATCACAATATTTGTGCGCAAAATATAGTACCTTGAAAGCTTGTCGCAAACCGGCGTTGTCTGCAATGCTGCTCTCCAACGTTCCGTTGACATTCAGCTATATGACAAACAAAATAAACACGTAAATCAAAACGTCCAAGCTGATGAAGACACACGTGAATTAAGACGTCGTAAAAGTGTAGTCCTTCTATTGCATGTATTTCATTAGTATAACTCCTGGTTTTATCAACATTAACTTGACACATTGGTTCACAGAGCTGAAGTCAAAATAAAGGCGCATAAACTAAACTTCCGAGTCTCTTGGTTCCTAGCCGGTTCTCATTTCCACTCGTCTGCATCGCAACATTCCGGGCGTTTTAAGAAATTACTTCTGACCCACTGAAATAACGGTAATGGGCTGGTAAACTAGCAAACTCAAACTTATAATTATAATTCTTTGCTTCATCCCTTGTCTCGGGTTTCATAAGTGTAAATTGCGACCTGATTCATTTACAACATGTTGTACCTAAATATCATCAAACCTATTTTTTTTTAACTTCCCGGAAAAGTTTAAAGTAATGTTCGACATTTATTGAACCAAAAAACTGCAAAACAAATTACGTATTAGTAAAACAATATATAAAACGTCTGATTGTAAGGTGACCTGGTTTCGGTTAGTTAGTTTTGTTCATCGCACTACTGTTCAAACCAAGCCTATAAGGAGAGCAAATCGTCTGCTTCTTGCGCTGGAGTTGCGCTGACATCAGAACGACGCCGAGCTCTGATTAGCTCTGATAGAAAGGATAGTGGGTAGACCTCAATGTCTTGAGGTTCACTCACTGATTGGCTTTGATCGGAAGGATAGTGGGCTCAATGCTAAATGCCTTGAAGTTCACCCACTATTTTTTTTTTAATCATTCAGAAATAATTTGGCGTTTTGACATCATCGCAACTCCTGTACAAAAAGCAGACGAACTTGCGCCCCGCATAGCATAATTGTTATTTCAATTGTCCTCGAAGTAAATTGAAAACTATAGTCACTGATAGGATGATAATAACAGGGAGGTATTTTAGTTGCTCCGCCACAAGCGCCAGTTTCCTCCTTCGATAACACTTCATCGTTTCATGAGCTTCTAGCGTGCGCGCACAGCTAAAACTCGGAGGAGGGCAATGAGCGCGTGCCAAAGGCGGGAATTCCAAAGAGACGGCCTGCTGTTCTCATTCAGTCAGTGAATATAGTAGTTATGTCGCCTTCTCCAATCACGTGGTCATCGAACTTTATGCAGCATAAAACGTCTCTTCGTCTAAAACAGGCTACACCTGCACACAATTGTTTTTGTTTGTTTGTTGTTGTTGTTGTTTTTTTTCATGGATTGGAACAAAAATTGGCAAGCGGTAAACTTGTAAAAAACCTCTTGAGCCGCCTCGGTTGCTCCGAACACAGCGCCAGTATAGGCGGGTACCCCAGTTGGCAGCTTCCAACTCATACTTCAGGCGCCCACAATCTGACAGACTTATCGCGGAGAAGGCTTTATGTGACCGGGATTTCGGTTGTATACGTCAGAAGATCCCTACGGAGGTCTAAATGACTCCTCAGTCATCCGCTGGGGCGTACCAAATGCCCTTGGATAGTATTGCGCGTAAAAACACTGTTTTAATTTAAAGACCGTTGGCAGACTCGGAAACTTTTTTTTTCTACATTGACACTATTCGTTGGTGTTAAAGTACATCGGGCTGCACAACTTTCACTTTCGCGCATCGCACTTGTCATGTGCAGCGCCACTTGAACTATTCTCATTTGATAAGTGATATTACGTACCGAAGACCTGCTACCCTTTTGCAAGTAATATGGGGCTTTAAACAGTACAATAAGTTTTACGAAGGTTCCTCACATCATAGTTGCCTACGCTTTGCACACGCGTCAGATTACATCCGCCATTGCTGACCTACCCTTGTCTTACCGAGATACCGAGTCACTGAAATGGGCGTTGACGAGGCTCCAGAAAGGCGAATCCTAGGGAGGACACTCTACCACTTAAAGTGGCAATAATCTGGCCATCTACGGTAATTATGAAGTGAGGTAAACGGAATAAGGAGAAACAAAAACTGAAAGTCGATTATGACGGCTTTCATTCACAGCTGCTGAGGAGTGTCTATATGAATAAGACAAACAGGGACGCAACATCTGTAATCGGCTCATTTTCACTGGGAAGTCTAAGGGACTGTTTCATTACCTAATAATAATAGTCAAGAACAGTTCGTAAAACAACAAACGCCACCGTAACTAGCCAAACCTTGTCCTTCCTAAGTTGTCAGCGATTCATTTTCTAATGACTTACACCGTCCAAATATGCGCAGCATCCTCCCGGAGAATCTATCATTGTAGCCATAAGTCGCGCTGCTGCGCAGTGCGCCAGCACAGAGTTGGTTCTTGAAGGCGAAAACAGTATCTGCGCCTTATAGTTCGCTATAATGCTTCCGCTGATCTAGGTGATAGCTTGTCAGTGCACTTCCATAGCAAAGACCTCCCAAACAAAAAAAAAAAAAAAAGATCGATTGGTAGATTCTTCGGGAATGCGTTGGCATGACTCCTGGAAACGCCACACACGTCCTCTTTTGTAAAAAGCTAACACTGACCCCTTCACTTTTTTCTTTTGGCTTTCTCTTTGGCTTCCTCTATATTTTGCTGCCTTTCTTTGACCTCGTTACGGAGTCACTGTTAGCGTTTCCAAAAGGGGGGCGTGTGTGGCGTTTCCCAAGGGTCATGCTAACGGATTGCCCAACAATCCACCAATGGATCTTCCTGTAATTTTTTTCATCTCTTTCCTGTGCTCTGCCTGTCAGAGTATGTCGACGTCCTTGGATACGGTCGTCCATATCACTCATGGAAAGAACCACATCCATACCACTCGTGGAATGGACCGCGTCTATATCACTCGTGGAGTGAACCGCATCCATCCTTTTAACTATGCACACACATCGAAACCCACGCACCGCTACTACGGAAACCCAGAGCGAAGAACAACTGGTAACTGCACAGCGGCAACTGAGCACGCCCGTATTCCACCGCGCCGCTGCGCAACACCTCCTAAGAAACAAAGCCGTAGTGCTAAATGAGATGGCGCCATCAGAGAAGGCCAACACTGGGCACAGATTGGACACGACGATTTCGTCAACATTCGGCTCAAATTTGACCCGAAACCGAGAGCTGACGCAGCATTCGTTTCCAATCTGTGTCCAGCTTCGCCCTTCTCTGATGACGCCATCTCTTTCAGCACTGGGTGATTTCAGATAAGGTCGACCAAAGGATGGCTAGTCGACATTTTCAAATCAACTGATGTTTTTATATGTTATTGTCTTGTGTCTGGTATGAACGAATCCAAACTTAGTTTTGACTAGAAAAAATACTTGGGGACAGGAAAAATCGTAATGCATGAGGTGGTGGACAGTTGCATTAACGCGCACTGATGGAGGGGGCCCGTTTGAGAGTGAATAACTAAAGCGATAACATTAGGAGAACTCTAATACGTTTTAGGCGCAAACTATGAGTATAGCTTGCTTGTAATATAAAGTAATCATATTTATTTAAAATTTATTTATTTTTCTAAAAATTGACAAACATGCCTGCTCGAACGACAAATGGCAAACTTTGTAGGTCTGTATCTCATGAAATAATTTAATCATTATGATATAATTTGCATATATTATTCTACTAATATATAGCTAATATTTAAAAAATAACTACGGTATCTTTGTGATACAATAGTTAGGATATATTTAGTCAAACATGGAAAAAAAATCAAACAAAGAAACATTCCGATGCGAATAAAAAAAAAACGCCACCCTCGATTTTTTTTAAATTTAGGTAACCTGTTATACTCTATTACGGCATTCATTTCCATTAACAACATGTTGCATCATTTTATTGACAAAGAAGATACAACTCCCCAAAGTAGGGTCCTTTTTCAAAGCCTACACTTAGCAGTGTTTTATACAAGAACTGACTCTGAGTTCCAGTTTCATGAAACCAACACACATATTTTATATATTCTTATTCAGATGAGGCCAATGATAACTAAAGAAATCGTTCACACACTTAAATTAAGGAGAAACTACTGTGTACAAAGAGGTATCATATTACGGACTAGTGATCCGAGAAAAGATCATGCAGCCATCGGCCACTAGGAACTTTGTTTACTTTATTCTCCTGCGACACTATATGCTATTCCCTCTTCCGCTCTACCTTCATCTCTCTCTCTCTCTCTCTCTCATATATATCCCTGATATATATCCAGAACAAAAACATGTTCAAGCATTCCCTTTCTGCGTGGTAGTGTTCTGTGGCAAGCAAAAATCATTTCCTCGCTAAGCTCACGATTATGGCAAAATAGTTGCCGGAAACCGCAGACGACACTCGTCGCTAGTTCTGGCAAAACGGCCGATACAATCTTTTTTCCGCATTTCCCCGCTCGCTGTCAAGGACAAGGGGGTTCGCTTCAACCAGCAAAACATGGCCGCCGACGCCTGTTTACTGAGCAGTCATGCCTGTCGCCATCTCACTCGCTGGCGTCACGGGCGATAATATCAGGCACAAAGGGGCACACCAACCGGCAGCATTATCCCCAAATGCTCGAGCCTCGCGTAAATACATAGAGTGTAAACGCTGTCGCCATGTTATCGTAGTAAGACCGCCCCCCCCCCTCCCCCAACGGGGGACTGCAGTACGCGACGGCGTACTAACACAACGGCGACGATATCGACATCGCGGGCTCCGAATTTTCCCATAGTTCTAGTCCACGGGCATTTCTCGAAACGCTTGATATTGTGTACGCCCGCCTGGAAGGATTTCAGGCGCGTAGTTAAGATAAGGCGGTTCTCCGCGGCAAAAGAAAGCAATTTCACAAAAGCTTAAAAGCGGCGGCGACGCGTGTGCGGTGAACGCCTGTAGTTTTGGTGTAGACAGGGTGTGTGTGTTCTCGTTGTTGACACCAGCCGGCGATAAGGCACTGCAGGCGGTAGCTCAGTACAGCAAGGGCTAATCCGAGTGACCATCAACGTAACCCCACCGCCAACCCCTCGCGAACCGGTCGCCGACATGGCTCAGGCTGTGTCATGAAC